CCCCCCAGAGCTCCCCAGGGCCCCCCAGAGCTCCCCAGGGCCCCCCAGAGCTCCCCAGAGCTCCCCAGGGCTCCCCAGGGCCCGGCCCGGCCCCTCCCGTCCCCTCCCATCCCATCCCGTCCCTTCCCATCCCATCCCATCCCGTCCCGTCCCGTCGGCGGCGGGAGCGGGCGCTGCCCTCCCTCGGAGCTCCCGGTCCCTCCCACGGGAGGCGCCTCGGGACGGGGCTCATCCCGCTGCCGGGCGGGCGGGATCGCTCCGCTCGCCCCCAGTCGTGGCGAGGCATCACCTCCCACCGCCCCAGCGCCGTGCGGAGCGGGCACCGGTTGGGCCGCTCCCGGCCCCGCCCCGGGCCGGGCTCCGCCCTCGGGGCTGGGCGGCAGCGCTGAGTCGAGGCCAGCCGAGCCCAGCTTAGCCTGCCCATCGCCAGGGCGCAGAGAGCGGGACCGCGGCCCCGGGACAGCGACCAGGTGGGCCGGGAGCGGGAATGGGAGCGGGAGCGGGAGCCGCCGCCCGCTGTGGCCGCACAGGCCCGGGGGGGTCGGGCGGGGCTGCTCCGGGGGGCTGCAGGAAAATCGCCGTGCCCCCCGTGCCGCCCGGGGTCGCGGCATCCCCCGGGAACGGGGGTGGTACCGGCACGGAGAGCTCCGCTCCGGGCTGCCCCGCTTACACCGATTTCCAGAAGGGAAAAACCAAAGTGTTCGGGCCATGCCCCTTTCCCAGATGGAAGTTGAGAGCTTGAGCTGTGTTCTATGAAGAGAGCGCTGAGACTTTACCCAACCAGCAGACCCGGGAGTAAATTATAACCAAATGCTCAAACGTAGCACAGGAAAATTTTCAACATATCCCTAGTGGTTGCTGTTTTTCCAGAGAATCCCAGGGTAGCTATGGGAAAAGGCTGCTTTGTGTGTGTGTGTGTCTGTGTGTGTGTGTCTGTGTGTGTGTGTCTGTGTGTTAGACAAAGACTCGGAAGTCACAGTTTGGGTCTCGCATTAAAAAATAGCTCAGGATCTTTGGAAATTTTTTTTTTTTTGCTCAACGCAGTCGTGTTTCAGATTGTGTTTTCTTACAGGTAACGTTTTTAACGTTCTCTTTATCCATTTCCAGTTCTAAACCTGTAGTTACATTAATCACTTTGACTCCTTCATGAGAACTCTTGGAGATGTTGGATACATGTTCCAGTTAGCCTGGGTGAAGCGTTGTGGTAGGAGTGTGTCTCTACAGAATCACAAATGGATGGCACGTGCTGGGGTTACGTATCTTCACAGGGCAGGATTTGATACTGAGGTCCCTGTACTTAAATCTGAATTTGCTACGTTCACTGTTTCCCAGTTTTGAAAACCATAAAGAAATCTTTCCAAAGTGGAAAACCTATTCTAGGAGCAGAGGGAAGGGCAAAGCTCTGGTGGATGCAACATCCTGCTGGCAGCACAGGCCTCTAAGGAAGAGGATCCTAGGAATCCTTTTGCTTTTCTGACTCCTCTGCCAAGCATTAGAAATCTGTGGCTCTCCTAGTTGCCCGGGTGTTGAAGCTGCCACATTTCCCTAATGTCTTTTGCCAATGTGTGGTTTAACTTCTTGATAGGCAGGAAAGGGGAAGTCTGATACTTCTGTCTTATTTTTGTGCCATCCTTTTTCCTTTTCCTAGGATGCAGACCATATGGTTCTCTTGCTTTTCTTGCTGTCCACTTCTTTAGAGGCACAGAGTTGTCAGCCATAGTTACATTCTTACCCAGGTGGGTCTGTAATTTTGTACACTTTTAAGAATGGTGGTATAGCACAGGAGACAAAAATATAGGCAATATGGTTAGTTGAGGTCACTAATTATAGCGGATACTGTACAGCAAAAGGTATATTTTGGAATAAGAACTCCTTAAACCTGTTTGTAGGGAGTGGTGGGACACACTGGAGGCAGGGCGGAGTTCGGAAATAGCCCGAATTCCCTAGCAGGAAGCCCTGTGAACTGTTCCACGATGCAGCCTTTGCTGGTCAATCATTTTCCAAGGGTTATGAGCTCAGTGGTCTTCTTTTCTGGTTATGGACCTAGCAGCTTTAAGACTGAGGTGAACCCTTCACTGATGGAGCCAGAAAAAACTTCTCTGCCGGCAGGTGACCAAAATTCCCCGTGCACTGGCTTTGGAAGCACTGGAAGCACTGGGTTCCGTTCACAGCCAGGACTTGCTCTGTTGCTTGCCGGGTGAGGTCGGATGCTTTCTCCTGGGTTACTAATTGTGGCTGAACTGGTGCTGTTACACGGCCGGCTGGTGTTTGAAATGCCAGCAGGAAGATGGAACAAATTGATTACTCTCAGTGCTCAAAGTGATTCCCCCCCTCCTTCCCTGAAAAAGGACTTCTATGATAATTGCCGCACTGATGCGCAAGACTTTGTTAGTGGCTGACAGGGATCCTGGTTGATATCTGTGGGATTTTTGCTGCCCATGGGTTGCATGAGGCCGTGCTTGAAGAGCCCCAGTTGCAATAGTAGCCTAAGGACAGAGACAGGAGTTAAACCTTGTTACTCTGCTTCACCTTTTGTGTGATAAAGAAGGGTTTACAGAAAACTGCAAACTGGCTGGTCTCAATAAAAACCAAACCTCTTAACTGGACAAACAGCTTCATCATTCCTTGTAATTGCTCAAGTAAGAAACTGTTTCTCCTCCAGTGTTCAGTATTCAGTAGCCCTGGTTGGCATGGGCTGTTCTCAGAGGGCCCAGGTGCTCTGGCAGGAAGGTGCTGTTTGCAGTTTTGCTCAGAGTGCAAGCGGCTACACCTCATTCCTCAGGGGACTTTGGCAACTTCTGCTGAAATAGGTGTCATTTCTGTGGCCAAACTAGAAAAATTCAGAACTTGACAGTGTTTTGCTTCTGTGATGTCATCAAAATCAGTTTAAATGTTTTACTCCATAAAAACAAAAAACAAACAAGGGGTGGACAGCTCTAACCCCAGATACCAGCTGTTCATAGGAAAGGGAGACTAGTTGTTAGGGGGCAGAGAAGCTTTACCAGTAGTATTTAATCTTCAGATTACTACCAGGAGTTTAGGGTCACTTTTAAAGTGAGTGTGCAGGCTGGGTGGTGGCAGGCAGGGGGGCCCAGCTGCACAGGCTGTGCTGCTTTCGTGGGTTCCATGGCTCTGGCTGCTCTCTGGAAGCTGCTGCCACAGGCACTGTCCTGCAGCCACTTGCCAGTGAGAAGGGGGCACTTCCCACGAAGGCTGGGCTGTGGTTACTGAGCTCTGTCCACTCAGAAGTGGTGGTAAGGAAAATGCTCCATTCTGTGGAGATGTAGTTGCTGAGAAAAGTCCTTGGTCTTTGTTTCGTCTCTTCCTTCCATTTTGTTCTGGTTTTGGCCAGGTGTAAAATACAATTGTCAGCAATTTACAGGGAGGGGGGAGTGTCAGTTTTCCTGTTGAAGAAAATATCAAGGGTCTGATTGTGAAAGGAAAGGGGAAATTGAAGAATACCATATGGCTTCTACCTTCCTGTATTTCACCCCCGAACTGCCTCTGCTGAGTGACCACGTTGTGTCTGTTGGTAGTTGCTAAATGGAGAACAGTTACAACAAATGATTCTGCCCTTACTCACAGGGGCCCACCAAGAGGATAATATTACTCTGGGAGGAATCAGAAAGACCTATCGTATCGGGGCTAAATTAATAGTTAATCAAGAGTTATTTAGAAATGTCTTGACACAGAATCGAAATAGCAATGGAATAGAAATCCTGAAATTTATGTTCTTCTAAGTGCAGTCTCACTTTGGCTTGATTTGGCCTGTGGTCATCTGACTGTTAACATTAACTCATTTCATTTTTTACTTGCCTCTGAACATATTACTGTAGATTGTCCCAGGCTTGCAAGCTGCAGAGTTCTTTTATGTGAAGTATTTTGAACTTCTCAAATACAAAAAAAATATTATTAAATCAGCAGCATGGATAAATATTAACTCTGGACCCCTGCGATTGGTGTAATTGCCCGAACAAGGGTTTGTTGATGTTTATGCCCAATCTGCCCAGTGCCAGTTCTGTTCAGAAATATAAATTATCTTCCAGCACCAACCTGGTGCTGATGCCAAGGACATGATCTTGACTGCTTCCTAACTTAGCTTTGAATGTCTGAGCTGTGAGGAATGTGCTGTATCTAACCTGGAGCTCTTGGCAGCCACCAATGTCATTAATCCAGTGAGTGGAGAAGCCAGCGCAGGTGACTGGACAGCTGGAGCTGTTTTCTCTATACAAAAGGGGAAAAGGAACCTCTGAATAGCTCAAGGAAATGCTCAGTGTTGTTGGAACAGTCACAGATCTACTTCCCTAGTGCTTCCTTCAGCACATGTTACACTTGACCCTGCCAGCGCTACACGCCAATAGGAGTCAAGTCATTGTCCCCAGTGGCAGATTAAACTGCTTGGCCATTGTTGAGAGTCCAAGATTTTTCTCTCTCACCCTGCTTGGATGTGCAGCCAAAGTAAACATGAGCTAATAAAAACGGTAGAGATAACAGATGCAGACTAGTTATGGACTAACTGTAGCACAAAGATGCGCAAGTTTTGCTGGCAGCTTTTCTGCTTCAGGTTTGAAGCTCAATTACCTGAAAAAGAGGTGGTATGGATCAGGTATCACTTCCTTTATATTGCAATAAGGGAACTGTATTTATGTGTATCCTTGGAATAAGAAAGGCATCTGTTAGGCTTCTGAAGATCTAGTGCCTGCCTTGCAAGGTACTTCCTCACCTGAAGGCTGAAAGTGCTGTGGCAGTCCATGCAGCTCCAGAATACTCTCCTGTGTTTCCCTACAGTCCATTTCCTTGTTGGCAATAAATGCGTTTTCAGTTGACTTTTTCACTTACTCAGCACATCACCTGTGAGGGCTATTGCTGTGAGGTAACACTGAGATCAACAGTCTGCTGGGGGGGGTGGAAGGAGGTGAGATATCTACATGGCTCTTGGGAGTGCCTCAGTTTATGGTAAAGGGATTGGGAGAGGATCAGAAATCTTTCTGTGTGTGCAGCCACTGTATTCCTGTGATGCAGTGCTGTTCTCACTTGTGTTACAAAAGGTGCTGCAGTGAATAGCTGGAGAAGTCTCTTAATTATTTGGGAATAAAGCTGCTTTAAGTGCCTATATGTTGCCAGCACACATAATTACTGTGTGTCTGGAGAGGGCTGACCCACTGAAGTCCTTCTGCAGTGGCTTTCTTTGCTTTCCCTTTCCTGAGGCCTTTGGCTCTGGAGGGACAGTGCAGTTCTGCACCCTGTCCTTCAGCCCCTTCTGCAGTGGAATGGCCAGTGGTGACCAAAAGGTTAGAGAGGAACTGAGGGCTGAGAGTGTGATATGGCATTAAAGGATTAATGGCTGCTGGGCAATAAACGATGCAGACAAGTCCAGATCTAGGAACAGCTTTTCCTCTTTCATCCCAAGCCAGTCATGGCTCATGCTGACAGCACACCTGGAAATGAGGTAACCACATACTCTGCCCAC